ATTGAGCCACGAACAGTAAGCTACCGGTGACGGACAGATGGTCAGTCAGCCGTAAGAGCACACCATTATGAAATCATTGAACTTGCCATTTAATCAGTATTTACGCGATGTTAAACACTTGGAAATGATTAATATGTGCATTTTACTGGAAATGGGATCAGGTTTCATACGAGCGGTGCGGTGCGATGCGATGCGATGCGACGATGTGAGCATTTGATTGTAACAGACACGGTACATGTGAGCGAAACCTTGGTCGGCTTAGTTTGATCGATTAACAAAATTGATAACACGCACTGAAGTGTATTTTTATTAAAAAAAAGGGTGCGTGTACTTATGTACGCGCGTAAGAAGTTATACTTTTTTTTTTTTTTTTTTTTTTTAATATTAATTAATTGAGTCGACTATTATCAAAGCCGGCAATCTGACTTTTGAACAATGATTGGTAAATCAGAAAAACGAATTATTGACTTTGTATTCCATTGGCAGTCACAAAACTCTTCGGAACGACATCTTAGATAAATAACAGGTTAACTATTAACCTTTATTTAATGCAGGTTTTGAACCGTATTCTTTGAAGGAGACGATTATATTCAAATCAATCTGTATTGACATATCAATAATTTTTTTTGTCCAAATGCACTGATTGCCACCTTTGATAATAGACGACTCAAATATTATATAATTAATAAATATTAAACTTTAATAATTTAATAATATTTAGTATGAATTATATTAAATAATAATTTTGTCATTTATATTACTAAAAAATGAATGCTAATAACACTTTTTTTACGAATGTACATGCGCGAAAGTTCACCTGCGGCTATATTCAGACTCGCCAAGTTACGTCGGTCGTATTGTAATGAGCGATTTAGCGGGCAACTTCATTTTGTTAATTTCGTGTCACGGTGCGCGGGCATCGTAAAATTTCACTCTCATCAATTTTTCATAACGCGCCTAAAGAAGTATAACTTCAATAAAATTTAGAGATTATTATGTCGGATATAATGTGTGGCGGTAACCACCACAGAATGCAAGATACTTGTCAGATGCTTGAATCTCCCTTACGACATTTTCCAGAAAAGCTTGCCTGTATACATTTCCTTGTAACGTTTCTGACGATGGTTCTATGCGTTTTTCTGTTTTACTATGTATGTATGTATGTATGTATGTATGTAATATATTTATTCATAAAAAGTTACACTTTTATTTAAACCATGCCCCGCCAAATTCATTAGTCAGTTTGACTGCAGGTAACACGCTTTATATAAACATAGCTTATAAATTAGTAAATTAGGTTATATATATTATTATTAATACAATTAATTTACGTAAATGGTTACAACGTATTTACTTAACAAGTGTTTTTTGATAAACTTTTAAATTTAGCAAGTATAGGCTCTCACGTCTTATGTCCTCGGGTAAACTATTGAGTAAGTATGGAGCTCGTTTTGAGCTGTTGCGTTAGCACAAAAAGACGGATTTAACCCGAGAGTATTTGCTAACACTGTCCTTGACAAGAGTTGTAGTTCGCATAATCTACCACCGGATCGCAATCGCCACCAACTGAGAAGATCCGACGCGAACCCAATGGGCTGTGTCTATTGGCTAGATTGCACATCGACGAGTTTGACTGGAGCGGTAACCGATGACCGATCTCTGATCGTGTATAGAAAACACAAAAAAGTCATAAACAGCAGGTATATGCTAATAAAAACAGAATGATATTTACTTTTCCGCTACAGGCGATAATTCGATCTACACGCTTTTACGAGACTCAGTCCGCACAGGGTCTGGAGGTAAGGAAACGAATGCATACTAATCAGTTCCGCTGTGAGCGCGTGACTGTTTGCTTATATTAGATATTCTTTACAGCGTTCCACTTTAATGTATCTTTTGGAAGAATTAGACTTGTATTATCTTGAAGAAATTTACATAAAGTAATTTTCATGGGTAATGAAATAAGAACGAGCTATCCTGTTGGAAGCCACGTGAACCTTTGATCTTGCCTTACCATATTATGAAAGACTCTGAAAAGATATATGTTCAGGGTTATGTAGAATTCATAGACAAGTTTCTGTAGCGAAATGCCACGTGTTCCAGTATGAAGGATTGTGGCCGTTATTTCAGTGGATTTTGACCTCAAACCTCAAAGTGAATGGCGATGTTCACGATGTGTGTTTGTGATTCTGGTTACTGCTTAATCTTGAGTAGATTCTGAGATCTCCTACTCATCTTATATGTTAGCAATAAAGATCAAAATAAAGATAAAAATCCATTAAAATGCGACTATACCTTTATTTTCTAAAGTTATGACAAAATTCAGTCACGGACAAAATACTATAATCTATATGTATATTATACGTGAAGCAAAAACTTTACAACCCTTTTTACGAAAATTGCGCGGACGGAGGATTATAAAATTTCTCACACTTAGAGAGAATATAATATATAGAAAAGGAGTGCAGAATACTAAATTTTGTTTAAATTATGCATAAAAAATACATTAAATCAATAAAAAATATATTAAAAACACTATAATGTATTTGACACACACACACGCACTCACGCACACGCACACCACACGCACACGCATACGCATACGCACGCACACACACGCATATTATTTTGTTTATCATCAAACTTTTGTTATTGTTTAAAGTCTGGTGAAATCTTCGATCAACAATAGTAGCAACTGAGAATAGATTAATATTGTTTTTCTTTAATATTATTTGTCTATAGTGAAGCCTTACCAAAATCTGTTATCATAAAAGTATAGTCTTTGACAATAGAGTTATAATAATGTTCAAACTTATAATTACAGTTATAGTCGAATATCGACTACAGAGGGACCACTACTACGCAATAAATACATAAATAGTGATAAAGATAGCGCTGTGAGCAGTGGACGTGATATATTCGTTAAAAACAATCAAACTGTGTCCCGTGAGCCGCACTGAGTATAGTTGGACGACAAGCGAGTCGCATCAAATCCCCAATCTTTTGGATACAGTCTTCACGCTCAGTTGATTTACCCTCTTCTTGGAGCTATATATTCATTTTGGAAACAAATATCCAATGAAATGCTAAGCATAAGTACAATAATACCAAGTTTCATTCGTTCACAAACCTCATTGGCCGAAAGGGAAGACTGGATATTGACAACTAAGATTAGTAATAATTTAATATACATGAGAAATTACTATCATTTCTGAAGAGATATTGTGAAGATGCGACCTTATGCTTCTGTGAGAAGTGTAAACATGTGTAATGCTTCTAGAAAGGCCCATTACTTAGTGAACATTAACTTGAGCTGGCGTAAGCGACAATGGCTTAACAATGCCTATGGAAATGCTGATGTCCATGAGCCTCAGTAGCTACTCACCATCAGGTGGGTAGTATGAATCATCGTGCTATCATTAAAAGTTTTATAAAGATAAGTGCATTTTCTCTAGATAAGGTTACAATAAACTTGCCACAGGTATATTGCCACTTCGATAAAGCGGCACGACACGAGAACCCTCTCATCGTGGCCGCCGGTAACTACAATCCCGATCCTGCGGACAGAATGGAAAGCAGTCGACGTCGCCCCAAACACGTCATCTCGGATCCTCCCGATCCACTAACGGTGCTTCTAAGTACTTCAAGCACCGGTCACCGTTCTCCGATCCGAAGGGCTCGACGAGTAAATTAATCATCAGACACAGCCCACTGAGTTTCTCGCCGGATCTTCTCAGTGAGTCGCGTTTCCGATCCGGTGGTAGATTCTGCGAAGCACGGCTCTTGCTAGGGTTCGTGTTAGCGACGTCGTCAGGTTTGAGCCCCATGAGCTCACCTACTAGTTAAGGTTACGCTGGAATAGCCTCTCAAGGCTACCAGCTTAGGTAGGAAAAAAAAAAAAGAAAAAAAGGTACATTGTACAACTAGATATTTCATTGAATGTTTCAGTCAATTAATTCGACTCTAGGTTTCATTTTATAAACATGAAATACAGATGTGAGTGACGTAATGAGACGAGTACTGTCTCGTGTTTCCAAGGTCAATGTGCTCGGTGATTCTAACTTATTTACGTAATCGACACTGGTTACTTATTAACACGCGATTTAGTTTTGCCAAAAGTAGTTTGTGGTCTGATCTGTGGTCTTTACACATTCGCACGTGATCCGGGCAAGGTACTGGGAGGATCGGTACTGCAGAATTAACGAATGAACTTATAATACTTGGATAAATAAAAAAATCTACCGAAGTACAAGTTAAAACTGTATTTGCACTTAGAACACTTAAAACACTCAGCGAACACTTTAAAATTCTCAATTCACTTCTTCCGCTTCGCTTCAGGTGATCCGTTCGCTGTTTCGCTTCGAGTAGTTCCGATTACTAACTGACTGCGTGCCATCTCTGTAACGTATAAAGACGAAATCCCTAGAATTATCGAGAATATTCCACAAAAGTCGAGTATTGTGTGTTTTCGCTATCTGACAATAGATGGCGTTGTACTTCTCGAACGTTCTAGAAGTTACTAGATCCTTCGATATTCGTTCGGCTATTCGGCGGTAGATACTGTTACTCTTACCGGTGTAACAATGCCATTAAGTAAAAGTCACCACCTCTTCAACATTTTGAAGTGGAAGTCTAACAAATTAACAACAGGGTAATACAGATGTATTTCCAATTGGAAAGCATAAAGCATCACATACGAAATTTTGAGAACTGTGGTATCCACCCGGGCTTAAAAAACGCACTCCCTAATTTGGGAAAGTGAAGATAAACAAAGAGTTTAGATTCTTTAGATGTTCTTGAGGAACGTAGCAGTAGTTTACCAGAAGTGATCCGGGTCACCAACCAGTATCTCTTACTGAACAAACGGAGAATACGGCATTAGTGGAACGTTATCTGACAACCTCAATTAATAGCATGCTACTTTAACCCACTATCTGTTATCGTTATATATATTGAGGAGGAGAGTGTGCTGTTTTTTGTAACTTTGATGTTATTGACAGATGGCATCAGCAACAACATCGTACCGGTCAACGGGCGCCGCGAGGAGCCCCACTCGACTCTCTCCAGGTAAAGATTTCATTACTATCCTCTCCTTTCCTTCAGCAGTACTCAATATTCTTTGATGCTCGACACTCTACTGAAGTTCTGGTATGACAGTGGTATTTTGACATTGTCGGGATATCCCTATTAGTAAGTCATCCTTGGGCCTTCTCGCGGCTTAAAACCAATTGACGAGTGACTTCCTAAACACGCTCTATCTTAGAAACAATATTCTGCCTATAGCGGTGTAAATAGCTTTGCTGTATAATTATCCGCGAATTCTTCAACATTGCAATAATGCGTGGAATTGAAAAAAAAGCCATATCTGTTGGATCAACAATACTGTTACCACCACAAGTATTTTCTTAGAAAAATTCTAGTCACAAAAAGAGTAAAATAGATTTCACGCTAAAATCTAGATAATCCCTTTGTTAAGTACCACCACCACCACCAAGCATTATGTATTTAAGTCCTGTTCTATTTGTACATTGTTTTAAACCAATTCTATACGAATCTGTAAGTGGTATTTTTGTTTGGATCTAGACTTTTTATCACCATTTATATAAAAAAGTACCAAAAGCGATCATATAATAAATCAGTTACGATTGAATAATTGAAATCATTGTTTTCATCCGACTTCATGCCTGTGATATCGAAATGTATTAATTTATTAAATTTTTTTATTGCTTAAATGTGTGGACGAGCTCACAGCCCACTTGGTGTTAAGTGGTTACCGGAGCCCATAGACATCTACAACGTAAATTCACCACCCACCTTAAGATATAAGTTCTAAGGTCTCAATACAGCTACAACGGCTACCCCACCCATCAAACCGAAACGCATTACTGCTTCACGGCAGAAATAGGCGGGGTGGTGGTACCTACCCGTGCGGACTCACAAGAGGTCCTACCACCAGTAAAAACTTAAAAAAAAGTAACTAAAAACTTTACTGGTGACTGGTAGTATTTCAAAAATTTCCGGCGTCTCGAAATGTTTTCTATGTGCAGCCACCATAACTGTATCTGTAATACAACTTCTAATCTCGGTTCTTGTGACGATACCATCCGAAACCAAACTTTATATTATGCTTCGTGTAATTGTACTACCAAACCGCGATCTAGACCACAATCTTCTCACATTAATGGCGTACAGTTTTCTCGTACACTCTAATTCCGTCATAACATGTATCCTCATCGCAGCGTCATGGCTCCCACACGTCGTCAATTATTTAATTATGGTGCATTACACTGCCTTCCCATAGCACACTGTGGTCGGCCACAGCAGCAAACTTAACAGAAGGGTTGCGATTTTATTGCCGTAGACGCTATCGACTTTGAGAATCCAAGTCTGAAATATTTCGTTTAGCAGGTGTCCCTGTTTGTCAACTCCCATCACGTGCGTAGTTCCTTTCAGAAATAAACAGAATTGTGGCTCATAGAGATACAGACAACAAAATTGGAGAGGAACAAATTTGATAAAATCATTGGAATTCTAACACTTCGTAATCAAATCACCGCTCTCTATTAAACAAAATTTTTGGAGAATCTCTATATATAAAAATAAATTGCTGTTCGTTAGTCTGGCTAAAACACGAGAACGGCTGGACCGATTTGGAAAATTTTGGTCTTGAATTATTTGTGGAAGTCCAGAGAAGGTTTAAAACGTAGATAAATATGAAAATGCTCGGAATTAAATAAAAATAACAATTTTGTTTTTCCTTTGATGTGTCCCCCGTCGGGCGGATTCCTTTTGTTTGTTGTAAGTTTATTTTATACAAAAGTTTAGGACTTTTATTTATCGATTGAGGCACTGCGAAGTCTGCCGCGTCAGCTAGTCAGATATAAAAATATGAATGAAAATGTAATCCTTCTGTAAAATAAACACAGATTGATTGTGTGCGGTATGACACAGCACTTTTCTTTTGATCGGCCGCACCTGTACATTCAATAAGTTCTTATCATCGAGTGCCTCGCTGATGGATCGTTGTAGACGACTAGAGGCTTCGTGATGGTGCTTTGTAAGCCCGTACGGATTGTTACAAGATTCCTGATTATTTCTACCACGAAGCAATTAAGCATTGCAGTTTTTTAATGCAATTGAGATTTCGACCTCTTGGCTCAATTCGTGGTAGCTTATGGACACCAGCAGCCCTACATCCAGTAGACTTATCATTTCTTAATAGAGCCGTGTTTAAGCCTGGTTAATGTTATCCGAATTTTACAATAGTTAGGAAAAATGATATATGTTTATGGTGATAATCATGTAACGCGTAGCAGGTACTGGAGCGGCTCTGAGGGTTCAGGGCGGGTCCTTGGCGAGGGCCTGTGGGAGGACCCCGAGTTCCCCGCGACCAGCACCTCTCTGGGCGACAAGAAGTTCTCCTCGAACGTTGTTTGGATGAGACCTCATGTGAGTTCATTTTGAAACGGCTTTTTATTTCTCATCTATATATTAATACGTGAAGCAAAAACTTTGTATCCCTTTTTACGAAAATTACGCGGACGGAGGAGTATGAAATTTTCCACACTTATAGAGAATATAGAAAAGAAGTGCACAATCTTAATATTTTTTTAAAATAATGCGTAAAAGATACATTAAATCAATAAAGAAAACATTACACACACTACCATGTATTTGACACACACACGCATGCATAGGTACTATTTATTTATTGTCAAACTTTTGTTCTTGACGTTTTATTCTCAATTTGACCATAGATTTAAATATTGTTTGTCTTTATTAATATTTTTCTATAGTGTTATAGTCTTGGCGTTGAAAATACAGTACATAATAGTGTACATACTTACAATTCCAATTAATTATAGTCGAATTTCGACTACTACGGGACCTCTAGTTCCTATAGATGGGCGGAAGAGTCCCGTGTGGTATTTACCGGATTCGATTACCTGGAAACAACAGAACGATGTTTCTTCAAACCGCAGGGGGGGGGTGTTCGATAGTTTTGCAATGTATAGGCCTTTTGCTACTCCGGTTTTAATTGCATGAAACTAGAAATGTAATGTAAATTAGTAGCTGCAATTTCACAGGTACGATATGTACGCTGCGTTTACATCACGCGGGTATGCAACCTGAATACGTCCGCTTATCTCGTATGCGTATTTACATGCGCCGTATTGCGTAACAGCACGCGGTCGTGTCCTCGCGACCACTGTGCGCGGCCGTAGGGCTGCCAATACACACTTTATGCACATTATTCACCTGTCCAAACTAGGCCTCCCACTTCAGTGCCAGGAAGCAGAAGACGCATTCTCGTTTCGTCTGATAAACAGCCAAACAGACTGTGAGGGGTAGCCATCATTCAACGCAAAATGTTGTAAGCGAGATTCAGGCATCTGTCAAATATAGATGCCTGAATCTCGCTTACGACATTTTCAAGATAAGCTTGCATATATACAAATTCCGAATCATAACATTTGGACCGTCGGTCTACCGAGCAACATCACCTGCTCTTGTAAGATCTTTCCTTCCTCATATACTACCACAAGTATATTTTCTATAAATAAAACTGATTTTACGGTTAGGTCTCTCTTTGTTCTTGTCATTATATTATCACTGACGTTTCGGAAAATAATTTACAGTTACGGTGGTTGCGGACGAGTAAGGTGGACGGTGGTAACTCTTTAATAATAAAACACGCAAAAGTAAACCGTAAAAGAAGTTTAATTTATATCTACGGTTTGCGAAGACCCGAGAGAAAACACTATTATTATAATTTGTAAAGCTTCGAACCTTTTAGATAATGTAACTTGTATTTATTTACAAGTAAGTGTCTAATAGTTGGAGGCCATTCGCATGTCTTTTACAATCAGTTAAGTTAAAGATGACGGCAACTTGGAGAAGCTAATGGTGACTGGGAAGCTGGACGGAAGAAGTTCACGAAGTAGAGGCCCGACACGTTGGACTGACCAGATCCGCACTATCCTCGACATCACAGTTCACGATGCTCTACACTCGGACAGTTCCTCAGACTCAGACAGGGCGGGCAAATGGCGTGCAATTATCCGGAACTAACTTTTGTTGCGAGGAAGTGGTCACGACCCTCATTGTATTGAGGAAACCGAAGCGAAGAGAAGAAGGAATGTGCGAAGGGAACCGGTGGAAACCCTATTAGATAAATATGACGTCACAATATTAGTAAAGGCGCGTTAACAGCTGTGCAAATGCGACACCGGGCCATTCGTTACGCTAGCCGTGGCATCGCGCCGACTGTCGCTTCCCTGTAATGAGTGGGGCCCTCTCAAATGAAAATTACACTTTGACTCAGTGTTTTCTCAGACTTTCAGGAATAACAATAAAAATTACAATAAAATAATTGAGAAAACAATCACGCATGGTCATTTAGTCCCAAAATAAGACTCCGTGTTTTGAGTACCAGAGACTGACATACATACCTATATACGTTTAATATATACATACGTTGATAATAAACGCCCAGACAAAAAGCAAACGAACCTCTTCATCACACGATGTTTGCCTGAAGTAGGAATCGAACACACGACCCTCTGTACAACAATCAGGAGCACTAATTACTGCACCACCGAGCTAGTCAAGGAATTGCGGATACAATTTCAATACACTTGACTTGCCTTGATTTTGCTTTTATGTCGTTGATTTTCGCAAAAACAACGCGACCAACATTGAACCCCCAAAATACTTATAGTATGTCTGGCTGAAAAGCTTGAGATTTAAAAGAACATTTTGGCGGAATTCTTAGAATGAGCTGCGTGGTCTGGTTGTCCGCGGTAACCCCCTTACCTCATCCGGATTCTGACCTCGGAGGGGTCGGACGCTTGGGCGAAGAGGGCAGGGGAGTCGTTTAGTGAATAGAGCCCTGAAAACATCCTTAGGCCCGCGGTTTCGCAGTCGCGGATCAGTCCCACATACACCGGGCGCCCCCTAGGGGGTCTCCGGTAGGAGGTTCGGCTCCGGACCGAAAAAAAAGGAGTTGAGAGTAGTTGGGACACTGTTAACTAGAGCTGGGTCATTGGTAGTATAAGATATACTATACTCATTAATGCTAGATCACGAAAAAGAAAACCGATTAGGTAAACTTTAATGATACACGAAAATTTGAGTACAACACACCTTAAGCACTAGAATCTATTATACGATCTGTGTCATTCGTAAACCGATATATTAATAATCAATAATATATTAATAACTCCATAATGTAAAAGGTACAAAATCTAGAAGTATAAAATGAAACTTTACAGCTCCCGGGGATATGTTTGCTTTAGATTGTGGATACACGAGATATGAACTTGTCTAGCAAGTATGAGAAGAGTTTGTGCTTAGATTAGCAAATGTGTGTTGTTTTTTGGTAATATTAAGGTGCATATTTCCATTTAGACTCTTGTAAACAGTTTTCGTGGTCAAGTACTATTATGACCCAGTTTAATTTCGTTTTAAAATGAGTCTTACACCCGCTAATTTGTATTAAATGGAAATTTTAAATCCCAAATCATATTTGGTGGAGTGCCTGAGGTGGTTATTTTTTATTGCTTAGATGGGTGGACGAGCTCACAGCCCACCTGGTGTTAAGTGGTTACTGGAGCCCATAGACATACATCTACAACATAAATGCGCCATCCACCTTGAGATATAAGTTCAAGTAAGATCTCAGTATAGTTACAACGGCTGCCCCACCCTTCAAACCGAAAGCATTACTGCTTCACGGCAGAAATAGCCAGGGCGGTAGTACCTACCCGCGCGGATTCACAAGAGGTCCTACCACCAGTTATTACGCAAATTATAATTTTGCGAGTTTGATTTTTATTACACGATGTTATTCCTTCACCGCGGAAATCAATTGTGAACATTTGTTGAGTACGTATTTTATTAGAAAAATTGGTATCCACCTGGGATTCGAACACCAGTGCATCTCTCAACACGAATGCACCGATGTCTTACCCTTTAGGCCACGACGACTTCAAAATGATTTTGTTATAGATTATTGTTATTAATTACTGTAATTGTTCATTGTTATTGCATTAAGCAAACTATATAATTATATCAAAAAATTATATTAATTATAAATAGTCACCTGTCAATTTGAACAATAAAAATGAATAATGAATAAACGAAGGCTGAATTGTGTTGCATATTGCGTTATTGCTCATACAAGTGTCTGATATCGCGAGTTCCATAGCTTAAGTCTTTAAGATTCTTAAGCTTTGATAGGTAGACGGATTTTCCGGTCCACCTAGTGCTAGATATTTAGTGGGAACCCTAAATACAGCGTGAATTCTGCAATAAATCATGAGAGATCAATTTCAATCGCACAAGCTGCCTGTCTTTAGGTTGATGATTATTTCGCGCCAGTATTGACCCTTTGACTGTAAGTGCCCTATGTAGCGCAATAAAGTATTAAATAACTATGTCGATTTCTGTTGGATTGTCGAACTTTGCATTTCTTCCTTTGTTTTTAATGTACGTTTTAGTCCCTTAGGAATTTGTTTTAGTCTCAGTATCTTCGGATTCGTCTTTCCCAGAGCCTACTAGATATTCTGGCGCCTTAGTAAGAAGTTTGAAAAAAGAAATCGACATAATTACTTTAGTGCGCCGCGTAGGGCACCGGTCACCTACATGGCAGTCAAAGGGTTAAGCAGTGGGAAGTATTCACCGGCTAGGACAGTGTAGTTACAAAATTCCGAATAGAGTATTCCAGGTATGCTTCAAGTAGGAACTAAGCATTGTTACTCTTAAGTAACGCCATCTATCGCCGAATAGTCGAACGAATATCGAAGGATCTAGTAGCATCTAAAACGTTCGAGAAGTACAACGCCATCTATTGTCAGTTAGCGGAAACACAATACGCGACTTTTGTGGAATATTCTCGATAATTCTGGGAATTTCGTCTCGACTATAAAAGCGTTGCAGAGATGACACGAAGTCAGTAATCGGAACTACTCGAAGCGAAACAGCGAACGGATCACCTGAAGCGAAGCGGAACAAGCGAATTGAGAATTTTAAAGTGTTTGTGAAGTGTTTTAAATGTAAGTGCTAATACGGTGGTAACTTGTAATTCGGTAGAATTTTTATTTATCCCAAACCCCAGCGCGTAACAATATTTTAAGGGTTTTTTCTTATTCCGTTATTCTGGCGTAATTAATCGTCAAAGTTTTTATCGTCGCCTTTACTACGATATTTTCGTAGTCACGGATGACAAGTCGCTGAGGAAATAGTGATGATAAATTTACAATTTATTTTCGTATTCGCCATCACAACAAGCGGTTAATGAATTTTGTATAAATTATGCCTTCCGGTTATTGTTTTTAAAATAACTTAACGCAGGATGTGTTACTCAGTAATGTTGCGATCACACAGTACAGAAGACTTGCGGTCGTTTCACTTCAATAAAAAACAACGAACCACGAATTTACACTTTT